GTATTGCATACTAGTTGAATCGGTAACCCGTTGGCCTAGGAGGAGGATGCATGAACCCCTTAGGACTATTCTTAGTATGTGGATGATCACGCATAAGTTTAATTATACGCTTTCCCCCTTCCCAATGTGCTAATATATGCTACTATGTGTTATCTGAGCATGATACCCCAATTTGGTTGCGATCAAATTGGTTATTCCTGAGCTGCGGTTCAGAAGTTGGCTGCGGTCAAATTGGTTACTCATGAGCTGCGGTTCATTCTCCTGGCTGCGGTCAGTGATTCACTTCTTGGGCTGCGGTCCACATGGGCCTCGTGTGCTATGGTCCACCGACTAGACGCGCCAGGCGGTGTGTAGGGCCACTAGCCCGAGGAAGGCCATAGTCCACCGAATGAGTGATCAGGCGGTGTGTAGGGCTATGGTTGGCTACGGTCCACCGAGTGTATGTGCCAGCTGTGTGTAGGGTCGTAGTCCCCGAAGATCATTGCCCACCGAATGAGTCCCTCAGGTGGTGTGTAGGGCTTTGATTGGTTACGATCCACCGACTGAGCTCGTCAAGCGGTGTGTAGGGTCGCAGTCCCCAAAAGAGGATCACAGTCCACCGACTGAGCGCGTCAGCGGTGTGTAGGGCTGTGATCCGCCGTTGAAACTATCGACGGTCTATACGGTTGGTTGCGATCAACCCCTTCATACTGCGGTATGAGGTAGGGTGCCGCGGGGCCGTGTTAGTACTATATGTACTAACCTCATGTTCGGGGCATGCGATTGGTCCCGTGGCTCCACCAAAGTGTGCTTGTGTGACATGAATGTTGATTGAATGATGATGTGAATGATTTGAAAGTGAACTGTGACCTTATATACATATTCTTTATGATATTGTCTCTATAACTGATTATCATTGTTTAAACGTGCTTATCCCTACCTGTCGAGTCTATTCCCGGTTTTAAAGCTAGAGTCTCTTAAGTATAAATATTCCTGCTTCAAAATGGTTTTCATATATCTATATATATATTTACCTATATTGTATTTCAACGCGTTGGAATTGGTTACCAGCATCATTCGCTGAACAGATTAATTATGTACATTCATGTATAACATTATGTACATTTTTTAACATGAGATTTTTTTTAAAGAAAATTAACCGCCAAACACTGGGTAGCGAAATTAAAAAAAAAAAAAAAAAAAAAAAAACTGAAACGATGTCGTTTTGCACCTGGGCACACAGTGCAATGCGCGCCGTGGTGCAAGATATAAATTGCCCTTATTATTATCACCTTTGTCTTTCTTTCCTATTACTTATCATTTATTTAATGGATTATTTGAGTCAGAACACCTGGATTAATTTAATCCATCATTATTGTATTAAAACGGTGTTGTAGTGTAGTGTGCTTTTTGTCTACAACTTAGGTAAGATATCTCTTCTTTCTATTTTTCTTCCCCCATTTTCATAGGCATCTTGTTCTTGATTGATTGTCTAAGAGACTCAAACTGTTTCCTAAAGCCTATTTTACAATTTGGTTGCTAAAGAATGACTATAATACAATAATTTTTTGGCTGTTCCTTTATGTAAAAACAATATTCCATATTAATACAAAGTTGGTTATCTTTCAAAAAAAAAAAGAAAAAATAAGAATGACTATAATCAATTTTTTTGTATTATTGTATTAAAATGGTTTTTGCAGTGTGATTTTTGTCTATAATAACTTACATAAGATTTTAAACTTGGTTGTGTTAGTGTTTAGGGATGGCAACGGGACGGGGCGGGGGCAGGGAGTATACTCCCCGTCCCCGTTCCCGTTCCCGTTCTCGAAACCCCGACCTCGTCCCCGGTGGAAAATTGAAAATAGTCTCCATCCTCGCCCTGCGAGGAATTAGGCGGGGACGGGGATTTCCCGTCCCTGGTTAATTCTTAGTCAAAATTTTAAATTATTATAATTTTAAATTAAAAAACTAAAATTTTAATTTAAAAAAATTAACATATATATAAGGCTTATGATTTTTAAGAGGCGTGACTACATGAGGAATCCCCATCAAGATGCTAATATATCCATTTGGATTATTGTGTTGCATTGTTGTGTAAAGGTGTGTGTGTGTATTCTACATATATTTTAATGATGCTAATATAATGTTAATATGTCATTGATAGGATTTGCACTCTATCATGGGACACCAAAATGACCAAACCATTCATTATCAGAAGAGGATATTGGTTACTAGGTATGCTATTTTATGCATTTGTACTAACTTGATTCTTTAGTGAATTCAATCTGCATTGTTGATCTTGCTATGTATTTATTTGATCGGGTGAACCATTTAGCTGCGGATTGAACCCGAACCTAAATCTTGCCTAGCCTTACTTGGCATCAACAGCCAGAGTCCACATGAGTACACAAAGAATACATTGGAAGCACCAGCAGCCCCACCAGAGGTAAGGTTTCCAGTAGCCATTGCAGTCCTTGAAGTTGAAGAGCCTCTTGAAGTAGTCCGTGAAAGCAAAGTTCAATGCCTACACATATATATTTGAAAAAAAAAATACTCCATTATTAACATCACACCATATTAAAGTCCAGAATAAAATTGTTGACCGGGGTGGGGAAGTAACGGATGACATTAACAGTGTTTCGTCTCCAAAATGAAAGAGTTCATTCACCTTTAATCAAGACTTAATCATCATCTCATCTTGATTTTGAATCACAAGTTTTACACGCTGAATAGGGACAGCTGCAGTCTTTGAAACAGTAGTAGAAACTCCATCCATGCTTGAGAAAGTCGGTAGCAAAGCTTGCAAATCCTTTCTCTACAGACTGCATGAGCATAAATTCTAGTGAAGCATTTGCAGTTATCAATGACAGATCCTAGATTCCTAGGAGGCTTTGCAAGACTGTGTCCTGCATTGTACTAGTTTCCATAAAAAAAGAAGAGTTGTAATATATGGTATGTCAATGAGATTTTTACTTGTTGATGAAATACCATTAATCTTTGGTGGATTTTTTTTTACCTTCAATCATAGTAGACATTGGCGGATGAGAATCCCACTGTCGTGTCATCCCATATTTTTCAAAACGAGTCATGTAACAAGTGCAAAGTAATCTAGTAAAATTAGTAATCAGTGACAAGAGTATGTTGTATTGTACATAAAACATTACAAGGGGAAGAAAACACATGAAACCAGTTACTAAACAAACCTAGAATGGTTCCAACACCAGAAGGAAGAAATACAAGTAGGTAGGGGAGAAGGAAAGGAGCAAAATGAAGTCCTACATCCACAGATCAGTTAAATTTGGGAGTGACCATCATTCTGATTACAGTCTTGCCACATGATCTCAACACATCCAAACCGTGCATCAATCCTGAATCACACATCAGGGTAATCCACTCATCTTCTTCATCTTGATACTTGATAGACATATTTTGTAGTGATATTTTGAAGTTTGTTTCCAATTGCTCCTCCAAATATTTGATAGTTGAGGAGGATGAGAGTGGAAACCTTATGGTATCATTTTTATAGGTTACCTTGACAGACATTGTGGTGTTACATTGGCTTGTATTTGTGGCTTGTAGAGGAGGCAGAGCAGGACATGGTTGAATTTCTTTATGTTTCTTAACAGCTTGTACATGTTGTTTTTGGTTGAGAGAGCAATTGGGCCTTTTTCCCTTGTGATTTGGCCATCTATTGATACCAAAGTCCCGACATGCACGCTTCAATGTAGATGTGCTAACTGCACAATATAATATAATGGGAGATTAACGAAAAGCAAATGTGTCTATGACAATATATGATAAAACTGTAGTATTTGCTCACCTTTAAGAGTTTTAGCAGCATCATCACGACTCTTACCAAACAGTTGTTGAAGAAGGTTGAGGGTAATTCCATGATCTTTCTCCCACCTGCTAATAGTGTGGGTTTTGTGTGAACTAGTGTTTCCACCTTTGGCATCAATGCTATTATTTGTTGCACTGGATTTGGGAATATGGAGTTCACATGGTGAGTCCAGTTGCGTCATCCTGCATACTGCTTCAAGTAGTGTTGGCAAAATGCGAACAACATTACTCTTTTCTAACTCTGCAGTAGCAAGCTTCTCAAGGTTGTCTAGCAACTGCGTTATAAAACTATTCGGATGCTGAAGTTGTAGGGAAGCCATTTCGAAGTGTGCTGTAATTGGTTGCACACTGTTGGAAGCCTTTTCCAAAAATTCAAGCGCACCACATTGACCACTTCTTGGTAGATGAGTAACTGATTTTTGTTCAATCCCTACTTCAACTTCTATTGAACTGAAGGTAGTATACTTAAATTTCAAGAAAGGATTAACATCTGTCTGCGCCACCGGCAATCCTTTTTCCATTGCCAGTACGACAAATTTCAACCAAAACTCCTTGAAGGAGAAAAGTTCAAAATCCAAAGCATTCTGTGAAATCGTCATCTTCATTATTATTTCCCTATTATGCAACTCATGACCCACACTATATGCTCCATCATCCCAAAATCTATATGGCTCAAAACTTCCTCCTAGGCTTAGGGGAAGGGAATCATCGGATGGCAATGAATGGTTCATCATCATTGGCGAACTCGGCATCATTCCTCCCGCCAAGTGGAACCACTCATCACTTGTTTGCACCGTCCCTCCCATGTTTTCTGCTGCCCAAATGCCAAGACTTTGATTCTGTCCCAAGCCACTGGCACTGGCACCATCAACTTCTTCTATACACGGCTGCTTCCAAGTTGGCCTCATCATCATTTCCTTCCTATTCCCTAACTCTTGAACCTCACTATCATCTGCAAAATTCCACAATCTAAACGGATCGGAATCACCGGAGGGCGGGGAAAAGTAGTTCATCCTTGAGGGGCTCATGCTCATCATCATTCCTCCACCCATATCGGTGTGGAAATCGGGCGTAAGGAACAAGGCTTCTTCACCACAAAAGTTCATCCTTGGCCTTGGCCTTGGGGGGCTCATCATCATTCCTCCCGCCATTTCGAACACCAAATCGCACTCTGTATTAACAGAATCTGTTTGTAGATGATGGAAAACACTAGTCTCACCTTCTTCACTCATTTTCGACTCCGTCAACGCCGCCGCAGCAGCATTCTCGGCGGTCCCCATCTCCGTAACAGGGTTCCAGGTGAGACCGCCGTGGTTGTACAACGACCTCGTGGGAAAGGGAGAGGCAGCATACGGTGGCGGTTGAGCTTGTTCCGCCAGTCCCGGAGATGCCAAATTTTCAGCAGAGGGGTCAATGAGCAATGATGCATCATCAGTCTCAACAAGTCTCATTGGTGCTGTGAGAGATTGATTTGGTGGAAAATGTAATAATGTTTAATTTCGGCTTTGCTTGTTGACTTGTGGATTAGATTAGCGTCGAGTCGCCCATCTATATATAATAAGGAATTATTAACGATGAATATATTATATAATAAGGAATAAGGAATTATTAATGATGAACCTTTTGTTTATTTGACAAACCCCTTTGAACCTTAAACCTTTCGGTCCTTCTATACCAACAACTGAAACAAGGCAACAACTCAACCTCAATCACCATTACCTTATATTTACTGCATCATAAAAATACTATATGTAATTCTACTTTTTACTCTCAACTTTTACTCACTGTCGATAAATCTATTTATCTACCCTTTTCAATCTATGTCATTTTTTTAAACAAATTCAATACCTATGTCAAAACTTATTTCATTCTGTAAACAAAATTGATCTCTAGATCAACAATTTTCTTGCTTCTTTCACAAATTACCGGAAAAAAACGAAAATTTAATAAAAGAAAAAAAAAATGTGATCATTTCATAGCTTCTTCGTCATCGTCTATCTTTGTTTTGAATTTGGGATTGGTTTATGGCAATAATAAGCAATTTTTAAACTAATGACAATGGTAGCAACTAGCAAGGGTTCTTAACGATGACAAGGACTATTGGTTAATCACACTATTAAATTACAAAAATTACTACATGCACTTCAAAAACCTACTCCTAAAATTTACTCCAACTTGTATTCAAATTTGATTGGAGTCAAATTTGATTGGAGGAAGATAAGAAAAGAATAGATAAACATCATGATCCCCTATTTAATTAAGCAATCAAAGCATGTCACATCATATCATATATGATAAGTGCCAAAAGATACCATCTTTTAGGGGTCATTAAGGGATTGTGTTGTGCTTAATTGAAGTACTTTGTGGATTACTTATGATGTAATTGCTATGAAATGTGTTACTGTGTTGCAAATTCCCTATAAGTATGTACACTTTAGTGTTTTGAAGGTTTTGAGCTTAAAGAAGGACATTTCGACGACAATTCGATAATTGCAGTATATCTTGAGCTAGCAGTGTCCAAATGAGGTGATTCAAGTGGCATTAGAATGGAAATTTAAAGGGCTGCAACTTTCATAAAGACCAAAATGACTAATTCAGAATCTTTCATGTCCACACAAGGCCCCAAGAGCGTGGAATGGTTCGTGGTTTGGAAACGGAAAGTTCCATGAATCCAATCTACGAAAATGGAACCTCGTGGATTGGGATCTGGGCAGAAATTTTAGGATTTAAGCAAAGGCTTGTGGCGGGATTGACTATCTACTTTTTATTCCATCTTTCCACTTTGTAATTTTGTGAGAGCTTTCTCTCTTTATATTAGATTAGATTCAACTAGCTACATCCTTTGATCATCAATTGCTCAAGATTGATTTCACTCTATTGATTCAAGTTGGTAATCCTTCATCTCTTATCTTTCAATTTCCTTTTCCTATCTTGCTAGCTTGATCAATTGCTTTGTGATTTCAATCAATATAATGATGGTGTGTGGCTAGATCTTCTAGGAATTGGATTGGATTGACTTGTGATTATGCATTCTAGATTTGTATTGATTAATTGATGAAGATGTGATGTAATGCTTGACCTAGAATACTTATGTTGTGGATGAGTGTATATAGATTCTCTCTTCATTGTAGGACCCCAATAAGAGAAGAGTATGAGAGTGTGGAAGTAGCAAGAGATGTACTTCCATTAGTCTTACTCATTGCAATCCCTGGCCTTTGATCCGAGAGGGCAAGGCCCGGGAGGAAAAGGTAGACCACCAAGTGTTTGATAGAATGCCTCAACCGACTTAGGATGTGAGAGTTTATGTCCTACGTGACTTAGTGTTGGTGTCATAGTTCTCCCATAGGTTAGTCTTGCATTGAATGCATAAGAACAAGTTCTTCCATCCAATTTCCCGTTTTACATATTTGTTTGCTATTTGTAGATTCTTGCCATATCAACCTTTGCACATATGTGTCCACCTACCTTGCTTGCACCTAGACTACTCTTGTGAATACATTGCCTAGATTGCCTTGCACTCCACTTACTTTGATTTTTCATCCTTGAGATACGGCACTCGGGGGTTCAACATCTCCGATCTGTTTACACTTTCCATCTCACACTATACTACAACCTTATCAATATAGAATAAAAATAAAAGTATAAATTGAAATTAAAGTACATATAAAATTACTCATTAAATTATTACAAAGAACTGGCAAATGGCCCCTTTTTAAAAATTTTATGACCTATTGACATTTTTTATTTTTATTTAATTCAATAGTTTAATTTTCCATTTTTTAATTTTTCCTTTTTCATTTTTTTCGAGGCAACAAATTATATAGTAGACTATGTATAATATACTAAATAACAAATACTGATTACTCAAATAATGTGCTTTCAAAAAATAAACATCTAATGTATTAAAGATTAACTTTTAATATATTAAAAATATAACTTCTGATATTGATACTGTATATTCGTTTTTCCAGAAGGCTGAACCCCAACCCTAAGGGCCCCCACACTCCGACCCGATGATACTGTATATTCGTTCATGTATGTGATGTGTACATCGTGGATACTATTCCCCATCCTGCTTCTGTTGAGCCTCCTGAAACCCCTGCTGCTCAATCACCACAAGACATTACACCTAATGAATCTCAAGATTCTACTACTACCGAGGAGGAAACTAATATTGTTCCTCTGGTTCCTCTTCGGCGTTCAAATAGATACAGACGTGTACCAAACAGATTACAAAAATATTACTGTGATATGGCCGTCAGAAAAGGATCTTTACCTCATGTTCCGTCCAAGGTAGTGAGCTATGATAACCTCTTGCCTTCACACAAGGTCTTCACTATAGTTGTCACTTCCGTTACAGAGCCTCGGACATATAATTAAGCCATTAAATACGAATTTTGGAAAGATGCTATGAAGGCAGAAATCACAGCCCTTCAATACAACAATACATGGCAATTAACTTATTTCTCGGTTGGTAAGAAACACATAGGGTGTAAATGGGTATACTAGACAAAGCTTAAGGTAGATGGCACGGTAGAGCGATACAAGGCGAGGTTGGTAGCCAAGGGATATACACAACAACTGGGGGTTGACTACATTGAGACTTTCACTCCAGTAGCAAGGTTAACCACTATTCAAACTGTTTTGGTAGTGGCTATAGCTAATGGATGGCATATTCACCAGATGGATATTAATAATGCATTCTTACATGGCGATTTAGATGAGGAGGTCTATATGGTTTTACCTCCCGGGTTTCAAGGAGAGAAGCCAAACCAAGTCTGCAAGTTATTGAGATCCCTTTATGGCGTAAAGCAAGCAAGCAAGCCGGCAATGGAACGCGAAGTTAAGTGCTGCCTTGCTGCATATTGGTTTCAGACAGTCCAGCGCTGATCCATCCTTATTTACCAGAGGTCATGGAGACAGCTTCACTGCTCTCTTGGTCTACGTTGACGATATCTTAGTTGCTTGCAAAGAGATGACTCTCATTCAAGAGCTTAAAGACTTCCTTGATAATACTTTAAAGATCAAAGACTTGGGGGTCTTAGGCTACTTTCTGGAAATTGAGGCGAATGTCAATAGCACCGGCTTAAATCTACGCTAACGAAAATATGCTTTGGACATCTTAAATGAGACGGGATTCTTGGATTTTAAACCAGTGTGCACGCCAAGGGTGCCAGGGTTTCGTTTATTACATGAAGATGGCGCACCCCTCACTCATCCAGGCTGGTAAGAAGATTACTATATCATACGACGACAAGACCGGACATTACTCATGCGGTTAATTAACTCAGTCAGTTTGTAGACACTCCTACTAACAAGCATATAGCGGTTGCGCATCGAGTATTGCGCTACATCAAAGGCTCCCTTGGTCAGGGACTATTCTATCCAGCAGCCACTAACCTTAAGCTTTGTTTTATCTGATTCCGACTGGGCTTTTTGCACTGAGACTCGAAAATCTGTCACTAGATATTGTGTTTTTCTCGGAACACCCCTCATTTCATGGCGATCAAAGAAGCAAGCTATCGTCTCCAGGTCCTTGTCTGAGGCAGAGTACCGGGCTCTAGCTACCACCATATGTGAGGTCCAATGGCTCACTTTCCTTCTCCAAGATTTGTAGGTGATGACGGAAAGTCTTGCCACTATTTTCTGTGACAACAAATCTTCCATCTCCATTGCAGAAAACTATGTATTCCACGAACAAACTAAATATATCGAAATCGACTGCCATATAGTTCAGGAGAAGGTTGCTTAAGGACTGATTAAACTGATGTCTGTTTCTTCGCTTAATCAAATTGCTGATGGTTTCACTAAGCCCCTACTAGTTTCCCAGTTCCAACTCTTTGTATCTAAGCGAGGTGTTCAAGATTTATACACTCCAGCTTACGGGGGTGTAACACCCCACTTTTCTTAAACCTTATTAACAGACTTAACCTTGAAAGATAAGCTAAGGCAACGGAATAAACTTACTAAACAAGCTTAATAGAGGTGTCACCGCCACAATCACCCTTCACGGTAATTGCACAGGCAAATGTTAAACAAACTAAACCGTTTAAGTTTTACCAGGACTATGTGGTCCAATGATACCCGGGTTGGACTTCCATTTGGAAGGTTGTGAGTTTGAGCCTCAATGGAGGTGTTATTAGCTCTTTGTGTTTCAGTAGGTTGAGAAAAGTATATGAACAGATACTACAATGTAATAGAGCTAGTAGCATTCAAAAAAAAAAAAAAAAAAAAAAAAAAACGTTTAAGTTTTACTAACATCAAACAAGCTAGGGGATAAGACCCCGGTGTCCAGCACCATCAAAACAACAGGGTAAGTCAACTACAAGTCTCCAAAAACAATCATAATTTCCATAATTTCAGGTGGTCGGAAATTCCATAATTTCCAGTAGTGATTGGCGGGTGAGAATCCCAGTGTCATGCCATCTCATATTTAGTACTTCAAGTCTTCGTTGGCCCCGGTACTATTCAATTCTGGCTCCGCCCCTATTAATAAGTAG